CTAGGTAATTCTTCACCATCTCATGACTACTTCAAAAATTTGCTTCTAAAAGAGGGAATCAAAAAATAAACAAAACGAAACAAATGCAAGGATTAAAAGATATAGTAGAGACAAAATAATATAGAAAATTACTGAGGTAGGGAAGGAAAAGTACTTTGTCTGGCTTAATCAGAAAAGGTATCTTGGTAGAACTGGCAGCTAAAATGAGGTCATAATGGTGATAAGAAAGAAATCACTTGCAGATCTAAGGGGAGATAATTCTGAAAAAAAGATGGGGATGAGCTTGCATGTGTAAGACGCAGAAGAAAGACCAGAAGGCTGAAAAAATCAAGTACCATGGCACAGTGAAGAGAAGCAGTATTGTAGAGGTAGAAAAGGACACGACCAAACAAATTAGGAGTTCATTTATTCTGGTCTCTGTTGGGGAAATACCAAAAGATACTAAGCTAGAGATATATGCCTCAGAAAGATTGCTTGGGCAGTAGTGTGAGGATTGGTGTGAAAGGTCAAGAGCAGGGCCAAGAAGTCGGAGAAGGGGATGCCTCAGAAGTCCACTGAGTGATTGTGCGCTTTGGACAATGGGGCAGCAGTGCAAGTGGTGATAAGTGAGAGGACTCAGGATATGTTGTATCTCCCTTTTGAGATTTCTGCTTGTTCTCTAGTTCTGTTTGCTTGGGCATGAATTCACCATTTTTTATTTGGCTCAGACCTGCTCAGTAAAGTAGCTTGACTTCTGTCTTCATGAAACTCAGCAGGGACAATGTTCCCATTATAAGGAAATAAATAAATAATAAGGCTAAAACAGATGCGACCAGGCACTGTTTTATGTGTGTCACATGTACCAACTCAATCTTCTCAATTATTCTATGAAGAAAGAACTTACATCATTATCCCCACTTTAAAGATAAGAAAACAGGAACAAGGACGAAACAATTTGCCCCAGGTCACATGGCCAGTGAAGGGATATTTGCTGGCTGCTGTGGTTGTTATTTTACTTCACCTTGTTCATTTCCTTTTTTCTTGTAACATCACCCTGATTTCCTTCTGAGAATTCACTCCTTCCTCCACTAAGACTATTCCATTTCTATGATGCTGACTACCGTACAGGTCCAGGGGAGGTCATGTGACTCAAACCTAGCCAATCAGCACTGTCTTCCACTAGATAGAGGTAATGGATCAAGAATGAATTAATCAGAAGCAATGACAATGTTGACTGTGAAGTTAGAGGTCTGGAATCCTTGTTGCCACCATGAGGTGAGAGCTTTCTAAGTCTGATGTCAGCATAGAGTGAAACTAACAGAAAGAAATTGGATTCCAGACACAGTGTTTAAGCGCCTGGGATCTTGGACTATTTCAGCTTTACAGTTACGTCACCCATTAAATTTCCTATTTGGCTAGGGAAATTTGAGTTAGCTTTTTCTGTCACTCACAACATAAAAAGACTTAAAACAGGAACACCCATCATTTGAGGATCCCTGCACAATATAGAGAATCTGCAAGTAGGCAAACTTGCACTTTTAGGAAAGGTCTATATATCTCCAGAGCACTCAAACTCTTGCTGCACCTCAAAAAGTTGCTTTTTCTTTCATTAGTGAGACAGGTAGAATAACAAATAGAATTCTCAATAGCCTTAAGCTAACACTTTTGCACTTTAGACTTCCAAAAGAAAATATTTCAATTTCACATTTAGTTCCCGGTCATAAATCCTACGTTTGCTTCCATGCCTTTGTGAAAGTCTTGTAAATTGTGGAGGGCAAGTGTTGGTCCATACTATTGGGTTTGGGTTTTCCCACCCCACCCCTTCCAGAGGAAGTTATCTATGCATGCTATTAGAAATGTTTCCATAGAGGGAGAGGAAGAACTCCTGGCCAAGATCCAATTTTCGGTTAGAAAAAAAATGGGAGGCGGGGTCTCTTTTTCTGCCTATAGCAGTCTCAACTCGTAACAGACAGGCAGCACATATAGAGACCCTACAAGGCAACATGGTGCAAAGAAACAAGAGTTTCAGGGCCTTTTGTAGTGGGGCATTGAGATTTATGTGAGTTCTATTTAGGAAGGAGCAGAACCCTAATTATAAGGGCATGAAAGCAGAAAATTTTGAGTGTTTGTTGAGACCTTGCCCAGAGGAAAAGGAGGCCTGCAGGGGCCAAGAGTGGGGCAATGAAGAGTAGAAAAAAGGAAAATTCTTGGCTTATTTCCATCCAAAGACCTGACATCTATGTGAGTTTGTACTTGGGACTGAGATGCTACCTGGATGCCACTGCCTCCATTTCAACCCAGAAACTACTGTCACATTGCCTTGACACTAATACCCTGGCCCGAGTCCTAACTCGGATTTTCTATCTACTCCTGCTTCTACATGGATAAGAGAATCTCCAAACACCATCTTTCGCTGCTAAGATCTTCCAGCTTTGCGCTTCTGTAGTCCACTCCTTATCCAAAAAAAGTGTAAATCTTTTGTCACTCCTCTGCATGACACTCTCCAATGGCTTTTCATTGCAAATAAAGTATAATGAATTGAATGGTGCCCCTCCACTGAATATGTCCACTGGGAACCTGTGATTTTGAACTTATTCGGAAGAAAACTCTTTGCAAATGTAACTAAGTGAAGGATCTTGAGATGAGATCTCCCTAGATTATCCGAATGGGCCACAAATCCAATGATGAGTGTCCTAGAAGAAGAGACGACGTAAGGAAAAGAGAAGATACACAGAAAGTATTTTGTGAAAACAGAGGCAGAGATGAGAGTAATGTATGTACAAACCAAGGAACACCAAGGATTACCAAAAGCCACCAGGAACTAGAAGAGAGGCATGGAATGGATTTTCCTTCAGAGCTTCCAGAAGGAATTAACCCTGTCAATGCCTTGATTTCAGACTTTCAGCCTCTAGAACTGTGAGAGAATAGATTTCTGGTGTTTTTTACCATCCAGTATGGTAATTGTTGGCAGCCCTAGGAAAATTAAACATTGAGTATAACCAATATTTCCCTAAATGGTTAGGAGACTCTATACCTGGGCTCCTGCATACCACTCAGACTTAACCTTTTACTACTCTCCACCTCACTAGGAGCCTCTCCTCACATTCCCCCCTCTGGTTCTTCAACCCTCCAGCATTTCCCTCCCTGGGGCCTTTGCCTGTTGCCATTGTCTGCTTGGAAATCTCCTCTCCACCCCTACAGTTTTCTCATAGATAGCTCCTCTTTGTGTGTGAGACCCTCCTGAATCTCTCTAACCAAACTACTTATCACCTCCCCGACCCATTTCTTTTTTTTTTTTTCCATTTCTTTCCTTCTTTCCATATCACAACATTTCTTTCCTTTATAGACTCATCACGAATGATTAACACCTTTGTGTACTTACTAGATTGTGAGCTCAACGAGAGCAGAGGTTTTGTCCACTCATTTATTCAAAAATTATTAAATGAATATCTATTATGTACAGACAGCATTCTAGGTATTTGGGAGATGTCATGAACCAAACAAAAGCAGTCTCTGCTTTTTTTTTTTTTTTTTTTAAGTACACTCTACACCCACATGGGGCTTGAACTAACAACCCTTAGATCAAGAATCATACACTCTACCAACTAAGCCAGTCAGGCACCCCAGTCTCTGCTCTTATGAACTTACCTTTTAGCTTATTTTCTGAGGCTGTCTCCCCATATCTGAAGCATTCCCTGCTATTTACTGGTCATTTAATGTTAATTGCTAATTGAACAACAGATGAAAACTGTAAGTTTTAGTCGCTAATTCTCTGCCTTTTCCCATCAAAGCTTGGCTCTACCTATTAAAGGATTTAATAAATCCAGACAATTTTAGAGACCTCAGACGTGCCATTTACAAGATATTTTTCTTATAAAGACATTGGAATTCCTTCATCAGTCTTGTCTCATCCCCAGGTTTTTGCCATTTCTACTAATATGACTGGAAGTAAGATTTCCTCTTAGAACATGTGTGGGGAAACCAAACAAAAGATCAAGCCACCCTGGACTTTTGCAAGGCTTTGCCAAAGATGGCAGACCCCAGGGCACTTGGCTCAATTAACCACTGCCATGTCTAAAGGTCAGCCTCTGGGACTGTTTAATTGTGGCCATTAAAGTGTTAGAGCAGCTGCTTCATAGCAGTAATTTGGAGCCCAGGAGAAACCAAAGGCAGCAACACACCAGGTCATTTGAAAAAAAGGCCGCCTGGGCTCCACATACAGCCTGATAACAGATGGGGATTTCCAGAAGTACTTAACCTGGCTTAGAGGTCGTGGCCTAACTAAAAGTAGGTCTCCCCTCATTCCAAAGTGAAATCATAAAGTGGTTCTTCGTCATCCCCCTCCCCTGCCCATCAATTCAGGTCCTCCACATTTTTCATCCTTGACTCAGAATTCCAGAAACCACCTTACCCAATTCATCAATTAATGAACAAACAGGCATTAACTTAGCACCTGTTATATGCAAAGCAATGGCAATGGTCCTACCACATTTCTACCTCTTTCAGCTCTTTGCACCCCAGCCCCACTCAGGTCTTCACCCTGAAGACATGACTAGCTCACCATGGGCATACTTTCCTGCTCAGCCTAGATGTGGGCTCAAAATGTTTATTAACCCAGCTCTCCAGGCATTCGCTACCCATTGCTCAGGCCTGGCCCTGAGACAATCTTTTTGCTATCTCCGAATTCCTGTCCAATCTCCTTCTTTGACTAATTAGTTTCAATGACTTGTTAAGGCTACACGGCCGGTTTGTGGTAGACTTGGAACCAAGGTACCCTGTCTTCTTGTCCAGGGCTATTTATGGTTCTCAGTATAAACAAAGGTAAATATCAACTCAAAGCTAACTAGATTTGTTAGCCACAACAGAAATATGACCTATGTTAATAAGAAGTGCAAAATAAAATAATATATATCATTATATTGTGAAGTTTGGGATATCATGTTACATATTACCTGTGTAATAGACATATATTATCACAGTTTTCATTTTAGACTGTCTTATTAATTTTGTATAGAATCTCCATATGATAAGTAATATCCTCCCTATTTCACAGATGAGGAAACTGAACTCCAGAGAGTTTAAGCAACTTCCTGAAAGCTGCTAGATAATAAAGGTGGAGCCGGATCTGGACTCCGGGAGATTCACCTCCTCCCAATATGCCTTGCTTCCTGTTCACACAGCCACATTGTTGGAAGAGAATTCCCCTAATTCTACACATCTGGTGAGCAGAGACACCACCCACCTTTTGTTCTCAACAATCTTTTTAAGAATGTGTCTAGAGTGAACACCCCTACAGAGTAGAACTGGTTTCTCTCTGCAGAGAAGAAGACACATTTGTTTGCTGCCCAGTATAATAAAGATAATATCTTCCTCCATGGCCAAATTTGGACAGGTTTGCTCACAACCCATGAGAGAAGATTCGAATTTTCTAAGCTCAGGGTTCTGCAGATGTAACTCAGACCCACTGCCTGCGCATTGCCCCATGGGACCTGGGGACAAGGGGTAGCAGTGCAACATAACACTTAAGCTGCCTGCTCTTCCATAAGTAATAAAGTCGTTCGCCTCTCGGTCAGGAATCATGAGTCTCATGACAGCTTGCAAGTAGGGTAGAATCTCAGACCCTTCACAATTCTTAACAACCACAAGTCCAGCAGAATGAAAGATCACAGGACGTTGGGTTGCTTTTGGCTGCCTACTCCATTGGGACCCCATATTGTTCGCTCATCCCCTTTCACCTAAGGTTAATCACCTAGGGTCCCCATCCCCCAGTGACTGAATAAATATGCCTGAAGGTTAGTCTGAAGTAATACCAATTGTTATTTTCTTTTCCTCTCACAGATAAAAGTAGTAGTATTTTCATAGTGTCTTAACCTTGTGTATTAGAGATGTAGCTGTTTCAGGTACCATGCGAAGCCAGAAGTAATAGCTGTTATTAACAAGAGAGGCTTCCCCCTGTGTGAATTAAATCGGAGCATATCTGGAGTGTACTGTTCCTTCCCATCTGGCCAGCCCTGCCCACCCCTTCAGAGAGGTCAAGGATTAACACTGTTCATCCAGGCCTCTCAGGCCAGCCCCATTCATCCTTCCATGCCCTGGAATGAGTTCTTAGCTTTGCCTTGACTGTAGAGACCTCTTCATGAGTGCTTATTGTCAGAATAAATACATGAATGGCCCCATTCTGATTTCTCTTTTCTCAGGTCATATGAGTCATTAGATCAAATCATATAATAGCACGGAGAATTTCCGAAAATGTTCCATGAGGCTGATTTACAAGATAAGCTGTTGGAGGAAATTAAATCCACACCTCCCAGGTATACCTTTCTGCATGAAGTAGGAGACGGGACCTCAGGCTCATGGCAAAGTATTTGGCCAGTGGGTTGGGCCAGACATGCCATCCCTTTCCTCCAGCAAGTAGGTAGCAGTGGAGGGGAGGAAAGAGCGAAGGCAATGATGACTGAGATGGAAAGGGAACCAAGTAGGTGAGAGCGTGGAAGACGGTTTCAGTAGTTATCATGAGATATGAGATATCCTGAGCGTCTGTTGTCTAGAAAGCATTGCTCAGAAACTCTGAGAAAGATGTGTAAGATGCTTATGTCATTCCCTTTGAGAAAATTAGTTACAGTCCATATTCACCTTCAAAGTTTAGAGTGAGCTTTGTGTTTTTGTTTAATATGCTTCTGCTCAGACCCCAGCCCCACAGTGTAATTCTCTTACACTGAATTAAGGACATGTAGCACTTTGTCACTCCTTCCTAGCAATGACTCATTTCTTAGGTTGCTTTACTTTTCCTATAATTTTTATCGACCTGGCGAGCAGAGTGGACATCAGAGAAATGAGAACTAGAAACTTTTTTTTTTGCTGTGATGAGGAAAAATATAAACACATGAAAAAAAAAAAAAAAGGAAAGGAACTGGAGGAATTAAAAAAGAAAGGCACCCCCTGAGGATCCTGGTAACAACCACACAAGGGAAGTATGTTAGCCCCCCCCCTCTACCTATGAAGCTAAAACAAAGTTTAGGAATCTTGTTCAAGTGTATAAGAGTAAACCAGCGGCTATAGCAACCTCAACATTTCTGCTGCCTAATCCATGAAAACTTCCCTTTTATCTCATGTGACATTCTAATTTAGTTTGGCCATGGATGAGGGTAGAGGTGATCATTGGCCAGGATCTAATCGTGTGACCACACATAGTGCAAAGGAGACTGGGAAATGTAATCTGGCCATGTGTCTAGGAAAAGGACAAGATGGATATTGAGAAGTCCCGGCAGGCTCTTTCGCTAAGGTAAAACAATTAGTGAGTAGCCAGCTTTCTTATCTATAGGTCTCAGCTAAAGTGCTATATCATTTCGTATTCTGAAGCTTTATTTACTTTTTTTGATTAGGACAGATCACCTTACACTTGTCACCTTATACTTCTTTAGTGCCCTTTTCATAGACCTCCCCCCTCCCCCATTTAAAATGTCAACTTCAGAACTTTTTATTCATGGCATGAGCCTTATCAGAATTTTGGTTCCCATTCACCTTGCCTGTAGTAAGATTTGATACTGATTGAAGGGAAAACAGTGAAAATAAAGGTCCACACCTTTATCATCTCCCTGCAATAAAGAATTGGGGTGGGGAGGGCAGGGATGGTGGGTGCTGAAGGTCTCAGCGAGAACAAACCCCCTACCTGAAGGAGAACCGGGGCCAGAGACGAAAGGGGAAAACCAAGAAGACGGTCTTCAGAAGCTTTTCCAGAAACTTGCGCCCAAGGATTTGCCCAGAAATATTGTATAATTGCTCAAGTGGCTTTTGTCAAGCACTTTGCTAAAAATGTTCCCATTTTTGTATGCAAATACTTTTCCTTTTCTACATCTGAAAGCCACATGTGATTTTCAATCAGCCAGCACAAACAGACTGACAGACAACATCCCTCAGGAAATGCTTGATATGCCATCAGGTTTCAACACTCTTCTCCTTCCCCCCTCTGGAGCAAGCCTATAATTCTGCATTCGTGTAAATACATATGTGTGGCATATTTATTCACATGCTGCTGGGTAGAGCAAATGACTCTGCATTCTTTCCTGGTTATGCAGTCAAGAAGTGACTGCACGTTCCCCGCATGCTGTTCAAGCCCACGATGGGGAGTCCACAGGTGCTCACAAAATAGGCTGGAGCTTGCGGTGCAAGGACCACAGACCTTTCCTGGCCACCTATCCCCACCCGCAAGAAGACTTGGGGTAGATTCCTCCTCCTCCATGTTCCCTGCTCGGTGCTCCCATAGTTCTGAATACAGAGCTTTTGATGTTCCCCATACCGTAAAGGCTTGTTTACATCTGTTCTCAAGTTTATGGGCAATCCGTCCATTTTATAACCTAGTGGAGACCATTACATATAATAATTCGGTAAAATCTTATTGATAAATGAGTGCATTGATAAAGAAAAACTTAGACCCTGAAACAGTTTGCCTCAACAATTCAGGGCCCTGAAAATTTGGCATCAAATGATTACTAAGTGTTCTGGTTCCACCTAAAACCTTAAGCATTTGTTAAACCTACGTAGTTACCATAATGCTTTCCTGCTTTAATCCTAGTTAGAAATTTAAATGTAATTCTTTAGGTTGTAAACTGCCTTTTCTGAGTGCATATGATGTTCCACATAAGCACTGTTCCTCTCGAATTGCGTGTATCGGGGCGCCTGGGTGGCTCAGTCGGTCGAGCGTCCGACTTCAGCTCAGGTCACGATCTGGCGTTCTGTGAGCTCAAGCCCCGCGTCAGGCTCTGTGCTGACAGCTCAGGGCCTGGAGCCTGCTTCTGCTTCTGTGTCTCCCTCTCTCTCTGCCCCTAACCCACTCTCATTCTGTCTCTGTCTCTCTCAAAAATAAATAAACATTAAAAAAATTTTTAATTGCATGTATCAATTTATCGAGTCTTCACCCTAAAAGTAGGTGCTATTAGTATACTCATTTTATAGACAGAGAAACAAAGAAAACTGTCACAAAGACGATAAGTAATTGGCCCACAGACCCACAGATGTCAAAGGTCAGGACCAAGACTTGCTCAGGAGGACTGGCTCCCGGTTGAGTTTTTAATCACGATGCTAAACTCATTCATTTAACAACAAGTTAATGATATCTAATGATGTGCTCAATTAAAATAACTTCGAATAATGTGAAGTGATCTGAAGAAAATGGTTTGATATGGTGAGAGAGAGGAACACCAACTAGAGGGGGCCAAGAAAGTTCACTCCACAAGTTCACTTTTGAGTTGAGCCCCGTTGGCTGAGAAGTGACCAGCTGAAAGGGTGAAAGGGTGATGTGTCCCCAGCAGAAGACACCGCAAGTACAAAGGCTGTGAAACAAGGAGGGCTTGGGATGCTGAGGACCAGGCCAGCGTAGCTGAGTAGAGTGGTCAGGCAGGATAGTACAAGATGAAGTCAGAGAGGCTGGCAGAAGCTACATCAGTAGAGATGCTATGAGATTCATAATCAGTGCAATGGGATGCCATTGGTGGATTTTAAATCACTGTGCTTCTTTTGTGTAGAATTAACTGGGGTGGGGAGATTTCAGTGGAAGAAGAGGAATCATGGGAAAGTTGCTGCTGTAGTTCAGATAAGTTCAGATGGGAGCTGATGGAGACTCGGACTAAGAGAGTAATGGTCGGGAAGGCATGAGTGGTACCCAGATGAGGTGGTGATGATGAGAAGCACTTAGAAGGTATTTTGGTGAGACTGTGCCCATAAGACTTCCCAAATGGAAGCGGCCTTCAGGAAATGACTATGCTGGGGAATCAGCCGATCTAGTCCACCCAGAGCAGACGTTAGAGGTCAGAATGTGGGGATGACCCCTTCTTCCAGCAAGCGTCTTCCATGCTCTGGTTCCTGCCTTGGAGTCGTGCTGCATGGAGTCTCTTCAGTGAGAGATCATCATTCAAAATCTATTAGAATGACGTCCAGGAGCTGTCAGAGCTGTTTACCTCCCCTGCCATCAGGGGATATGTGTATTCACATAACACTGAAGGGCATTCACTCATGCAGAGTGGATGGGAATTTGATAGGTAGATATGTCCCCGAGCAGAGGGAACAGGTGGAGTAGGATGTAAGGTCAGGAGAATGCAGGGAGAATTGAGGGCAAGTGTAGAGAGAGAAAGCTGAGAAGAGATCCAAGAGAGGTGCATTTAGGGAGGGTGTGGAATCTTTGTGTGCCCAGTTTATCCTTAAGGTAGTAGCGAATCAGCAACAAATTTTAGGAAAGGGAGAGAGAGCCATGAAGTGTGAGAGCTGAAAGGAACCCAACAATTGCCAATTCCACCTGCTTCATATTGTACCTGTCTCCCTTTTAAAGAAATAGCCCCAGCGTCAGTTTGCATTCCCTATGCATAACCCTACGAACTTCATTATATCAGCAACTCATGCTGCACTGGAGTCTTTTGCTGAGGGTAAATCAGCAGATAGTTTTGAGTGCTTATTGTGTGTCAAGTTCGCAGGAGAAACCAAAGATTATTAAGACTGGTCACCTGGCCTCCATTTCTCCCAGCGATCTCAAAATTACCCAGCCTGAAAATGTCGGACCAAATGTAAACCTCAGCATAGAAACTAGATTCTCTATGCCACCTCCTCCATACACTTTCATGTCGGAGTGTTCCTTTGACCACAACTTCAGGCTCTTCCAATGGAACACCTTATTGCACAGAACAGCAGAGAGACTCCTATCTTAAACTACATGAAGTGACTGTGCTGAGAAAAGGAACAGCCTTAGAAATTGAGACATTAAAAAGCGACTGGCCCGACTTTTCTGAATATCCAATATCTTTTAGCAGCTCTAGACGTTGGTTTAGGTGTTTAGCAAAAAACAAAATAATAATAATTTAAACAAAATAACAGTTTCTTTCTCTAGTTTAAGAGCCTGAGTTTGTAGGAAGTGGGCGAGATTATTCGATACCTGAATTCCTCTATCCTTCCACTTCGCCATTCACTAATGTTGCCCTTTTCCACGTGGTCACAGAGGGCTCACCACTATGCTGTCCACAGACTGGCTAGTGACAAAGAGGAAGAGAGAAATGGCAACCAAATCCCTCTCTTTTAAGGACATAACCCAGAAATAGCATACGTCACTTTTGTTCATGTATCATTGACCAGAAAGGAGTCATGTGCCCACACCTTGTAGCAAGGAAGGTTGGGCGACCGAGTACTCAGTTAAAATTCTGGGATGAGCGTATTGAAAGAGAGAAGGGAAAATGGATATTGGAGGCCAACGGCAACCTCTGCATAATAAGAGTCTGTGATGATTCTAGGGTGGTATAATATTGTTAGGTTGACCGTGCTCTGGGTAACA